ATTGAATAAAAATAGGTTTTAATCGCACCAGGGTATTTTTACATGTGATTTAAGCATGTATCACGAAAACTATTCAATTCCAAGCACACGGAAAGCAAATTCACCGACGATGTTTCAACTCAAAACACTGTAAATGTTTCAAAAAGTGGTAATGTATAAAGCACCTTTGTGTTCATGAGAGTAACTAAAACACTTTTCTTTCAAATTGTTATTATTAGTATTTTGAAACACACATGCAATGTTTTAAAATAAAATACCCGACGATAGATGTTTCATACGTGTTTCTGTTTACGACATGTATACAAGTTCATAACAATTACTGAATCACCTTTTTCAAAATAGTTTTTTTTTTCTGTAACACTTTTCTTTAGCACTTTCACCCTAAAGTGATTCATGTACGTGTGTACGAACAGAACATCTTTTTTATGCAGTCTACGGTACGCATCTATAACAGCCACAATGTTTATACAGCATTGGGTATAAAACTAGTTTGCACGTGTGCATACTATGTACTTGTAATCTGTCAGTAATAAATGCACGGCGTTGTTATCAAAAATAAAGTTAGCAAACTCAATGACGCAGTGCTAATTTTCTTCATAACATAAATGTAAATGTCATATAGGTGATAATTTAGGTTCCTATTCTTTTGTGAGATAATAATCGTAAACAACGGCGTACATGATGCGCATGCTCAGTAAGGATTTTAACCGCAGGAGTATGTAGATAAGTTTGTTCGCTAATGAAGCAACATCAACTTAATTATTATACACTTGGAGTTTACAGTGTAGTATTCTATATATAACCAGTTAGACAAACACAGGGCAGTGATTAGGTCACGCCCACCACAATATCATTTAGATCGGTACTATTTATTTTGTAGAACGTACTGTATATTGGGATTTAATGATGATGTAACTTATTGTTGGGCGATTTCAATGCAATACTAGGCATGTTGACTCCCAAATATGCAATCGGGTGAGTTTGAATAGTTCGGATCCGCTCGAAAGGTAATTAATTATTCAAACGTCAGCTGTAATGCACGCATGTGTGTGTGAGTCTATAGCCACCCTATAGTTGATTTATGCGGTGGTTATAGAGTATCATTTGACTCGTGTACACGTAGGGTGTGATACTGCGCAGGTAAGTATATGTTTTATGACAATTTACGATATGTGACTGGTTCTTAAACTTACTGTGATTTGATTGAATTCCTTATAACTATCGCTATTCATTAAGTAAATAAAGTATTGTGTCGGTATTGGTTTCTATTATTTGTCTTTTCAATATCTATTTCAGACTGTTATCATAAACGTGTTATTTTATTTTATTGTATATATGACGTTTTCACGGATTAAGCTCACCGGGGAAAGAGTGTGTTTTATTTGTATTGGTTTAGTTATTGGGTATTATTTTTCCCAGAGGGTAAGTAATTTTAGAACATATTCTCGAAACTAATCGTCTTGACTTCATTTTTCAAATAGCTTTCATTTGTATAGCCACGTCGGTGGTCAAATGTGTGTGAATGGTTTCTTGATTATAATGATCGTAATACTGAAATAAAATGAATATAGCAAAAAATACACATTTGTTTTAAAATGTAAGTAGATTAATAATACACGTATGAAAACAACACCCAGACAGCTTTTAATAAACATATGCCACGCATATTAATGTGTTTCATATAGTAATATTAGTTTAGTAACACATGGATTAAAAGATGTGTAAATAGTGGTAGGTCAGCCTGACAACTTCAAGTAGTTGATTGCAAATTATCCACGACTAAGAAACTGCATTGGAGCGACTGCACATCGTTTAATTTGATTGTATTAACTGAGTAAATGGCAGACCGGGACATCTGTAATAACGCATATAATACTCCCTTACAGGAATTTGTAAAATCTCCGTCTTCAAATAATGATGTGTCTCCGATACAATCTCGCACAGTCACAATTCAGGAGAAACTGAAACAAGCAGCGACAAATGACGTAACGCCTTCACGTTCCCGCAACGACATAAATGCTGACTCAAGTAAAACACGGATTAATAGTGCTAATGGCGAATCACCGAAACAAGATGAATTTAAAAAAACTGGTGGGGTGGAGAAAAATGTGGAGGTAGAAAAAGCTGTAAGGAAAAAAACCGTGGACTTATATCCTTACAGAATGTATAACCCATTTGCAATGGAATGGGTGAACGTAGTTGATGAGTTGGAATGGATTCATAGAAACAGTTATAACGAAGACAAGATGGTTTATAAAATACCGTTCGACTTAGGTAGTGGGGACCTGCGACTAACATCTGTTAATGAAACTAGGTAATGATGTGACTTCATTGTTGCTTGAGAAAGAAAACTTTTCAAATTTTGATTCTAATATACTAGTTCTGTAACTTAATCATACGAGGGTACAACTTTGAGAACAAAAAAGGTGTTTTGACTACATCTCACGGCAAATCAAATATGCCCATGTTTAAGTGCTACAACACATTTTATTCTGATGTGAAAATCTCCTGTTCTTGGGCACAAACACAAAACAGAATATTGCAAAATTGTATACAGCTTCCAATCAAAGAAAGCTTAGAAAAAAATCCCGTGTGCTGAAGGTATTGGAGGCATGACAAACAAATAAAGAATACTGTATTTATTAATATGTTAGAAGCACATCTTCATTGCCCATAAAGCATTGTGCTTATTGCATGCAAAATCATTGGAATATGTCCTAATCCTAATTTATTTTTACAGTAAGCACATGTGCTTCTAATAGAGCAAATGATTAGGGTGGTTCCAAGAAGCTATGGGTTAACAATTATAAATATTCAATGCAATAATGACCATATATAATGGCTTAATAGTTTGGTCATAAATTCTGTCAGAACACAAAATTGAAGCAAAAGTACTTAGTATATTACAGTTATTATGCATATTAAGAAACACAGGTAAGTAATAACAGGTAATTAATATGCATTAACATGCATTTTAACTCTGAAGTAATCAGGTCTGTGGATTATCTAAAAGCATATATGTACCTAATTTTATTAACATTTGATCAGTGGCAGGCAAGATAACTCTGGAGCGCCTATAAATTGATTAATTTATGCCAATTAAGGTAATTAGTAAGCATACAATCTAACCCTCAACTAAACATGTAAATGGCCTATTGCTAAGTATCTACATCTGTATATAAGTTACCTGTAGTGTCTATGTATCATGTTTTATTAAAATGTGTTGAATGGTATTTCAGGAACAAGCGGGAATGCTTAAAAGTGGCTAACTATTATGCAAACTAGGTCATTGATATGCAAATCAGTACTGCGCATTATCCCTGAACATCAATGTACTAAATTTAATTGAAATAAGAACAATTAAAAAGGCTTAAAATTAGCTAATTAATATGCAATTTAGGCAATTAATATGTACAGAATTTCAACAAAAAATGTATCAGGTCTGGGTATTATCCAAGAGTATCTATGTACCAGGTTTCATTTTATCTGTTTAATTTTATACGAGAAACAAATCAAACTGCTTAGTAAATTAATATGCACAGTTTTCAACCAAAAACTAATCAGGTTTGAGAATTATCCCATAAATCTAGGTACAAGTTTCATTAAAATCTGATAATTGGTTCTTGAGATATTAGTGGAACAGGCACACAGATGCACTAACATCAAAGACTCACAATGTGTGCTTTGCACACGGGAGTCAAAAAGTATTTTTTAGTAATTCTCAAAAAAAATACGAACTCACATATCTAAATTAGCTACATTTAATAAATACATTTTATACTAGTAGATCATTTATTAGTTGAAAAGAAAGTCAGATAACTAAAACATTACAAATGATTGCAGAGAGAATTACGCAGCATGAATGACAAATATGCAAATAGTTTTTTGTTCAGACTGAATGGATGGGAAGTAGTATGTCTATCAGTTGACAGCTTTATGTTTTTGTTTCCTTGTTTAGAGTTGTAGTACAAAATGCAAAAAACAATATACGCAAAGGCACATATATTTGTGCTAGTATCGAAACCATCGATGAGAATGGCCGTAAACGAAACAGAGGAGGTGACTTCTTCACTGCTGGCATGACGAATGTTGGTTTAGGAAAGAGTACGGCTGGTCGTGTTGTTGATCATGGCAACGGCACATACCATGTGTATTTCTATGCAGCCTGGTCTGGCGAAGCAACAATAGATATTGCGCTAACTTTTACAAGAGAGGCTATCACTTATATTAAAGATATAATGAAGAGAAAGGAAGAAGTTCTTGGATTTGCTGCCAACTACAGCGATGGTAAAAATACAGAGGAGACCCGTTGTTCTCTCATCAACGAAGGCGTGTGGACAAACAGATGTGAATACATAAATCCCAACTCTCTGGGGAAAACAGTGCTTGGTTGTAAAAAACTAGATCGATTCAGATGTGACCAGATTACCAACATATGGGCAGGTGTTGAAGGATTAAACCGTGCTGCTATAGATGAAGTAAGAAAGGTTAAATTTTTATTTGAAGGGTTAGTATTTATTTTTAAATTTTATTTTATTTATTTGTAGATACTCTGAAGCAGAGTAGAAGTGGCATTCAGTAAGTCAACTCTTCAAATCGGAGGCTAAATTTAGGGATAATCGATGACATAGAATGCATCACCAATGTCTTTGTTAAACTAACAATTGTCGTTTGTGACCGAGTGCAGTCATTATATTCAATTAACTATTTAATAGATTAGAATTTGAGGTAATTAATTGTAAGCTTACCATAATAACTACTTAGCTTCTTAACTTGATCATCGGACTGTAACAGACTATTTTTTATCGACGCCATATTATTTCTATAACGCAGGGCAATCATCAATTCAAATCCATATTACATCCAGGGGTCTACTGTGCAACTGTTTTGAATAACATTGTATTACAAAGTAGCATATTTATATGATATAATGTTGTTAGGTTAGATGTTTGTTTGGCGCCTCTATACTTAACCTTTGGCCATGTAACTGTAACTATAACTTATTGAAACTTTCAAATTATCCTTCTGTTTTTTGCTAACACTCATTTTTGAAGGGAGTGGTTCTTGTTTTGAATTGTGTTGTGTTTTGCGCTGAAATATACAGGAACATATAAATCTCTAAAATCGATATTATGCCACATGGGATTCCATTCTCATCTAACAACCATAGTAATCTCATCCTGTCACATATTTTGGTGCTGCAGGCCAGGATCGAATTTGAATTGTTAGGTACAACTAATTCTTTTATCAATGTTACTACTATTCAACATTTTTTAACATCAAGGTTATGCTCTATCTAATAAAAATATTAAAGGCTGCTTACAAAAAAATGTATTCTATGCTGCCTTCATGCGTGCGTGACACCCATTTAAAATAATATTGTCCCAGATTAACAAGGGGCAGGCTTGAGGCACGATTGAACTTATGTGCAAATACTATTTGCGGCCACATTAACAAATATTTGTGTTCGCGAAATCGAGTATCTGAAATTCATAAGAAACAAGGAAGAGCTTGGATAAATCCAATCACCGTGACTGAAACCCGTCATAACATCAATCTATTAATTCATAACTAAAAATGTTGCCCCAAACAAAGCTAATTTCACGACCTGATATGGAAACAAGGGATAATGCGTTCAGTTTAAGACAAAATTAAAAACGTATAGATTATATTCATTGTCATGAAGAATAAAATATGATGCAATCACACAAATATCATCGGCATACATTTATTAATTATAATGGACTCAGATAAAATACGTTATTTTTACTTTTAAACAAATTGTTGACACATTTTCACTGTTCATAATATATTCGATACATTAAAACTGTACATACCTACTGCATGTTCATACTTCGACTGTTAAACGTTATCCAGTGATAGAATGTTCGTCTCGTGCCGTAGACAGATAGTACCATTCCAGTACCAGTAGACTGGATACAGTTTATAGCACCGTTCTTTTTAGTAGCTGTCACATGGCTCTTGAAAGACAAGTACAACATTATTTGATGTGAAATGTCTAATGATTTAAACACATAGATAATGTTGATACTGTTCAAATAGTATTGAATATACAAATAATGAGTTGAGCGCCCGACTGCTCAGACAACTACATGGATACGTGACGCACATAGTTGTAATTACGGCGGTCAATGACGGAATGCCAATTACATTCTCTGTAAAAATATCACCATCTCGTTTATTTAGGATAACTTCCGGTTTCCCTCTTTTCTCAGAAAATCAAAAATGCATTGGAGATTTTACTACCCTAGTGAAAATACTAGTGAAAAATAGTTATGTATAACCAGTGACTTAAAGTGGCTCGTTTAGCTTAAACTATTATAATATTAGATGAAATTCAAAATTGACGCTTCGCCAATAAAATAATAGCTATGAATAAAATGAATCTATTGATTAGATCAAAGGGAATTAACACTTGTCTAGAGCTGTGTTTTCCAATTTATTGCGTCGAGAATTGATACCAACACCGTGAATGTTAAATGTCATTTGTTACATCTGTGCATCGTATGCACACACACACAAAGTACAAATGTATAAAGCTGTTTATTATTGAAGATACTAAAATCAATAAAATGATCGCAACATACACAGCATGTCTGCGGACAATGGTGAAATATTTGTCATGTTAATGTTTTAATAAGCTTTGAAAACAATTTAAGTCAACACAATTTTCGATGTGCTCACATTGCTTCCATTTAGCAACTTCTTGTCAATGAATGGGGAGAAATATATTGGTAGCTATTATGAGCTATCACGACCATCCAAATTCCGTATATATTCACATACAAATATTCTCATATTTACAGAAAATATAGTACTGTGAAATTAAAAGGAACTCCAATAAAGCTAAATATAATGGGTAAGTATAAATAAATAAATAAATAAATAAATAAATAAATAAATAAATAAATAAATAAATAAATAAATAAATAAATAAATAAATAAATAAACACATAAACACATAAACACATAAATAAATAAATAAATAAATAAATAAATGTATGTTAATATGTTTCAGATGCTCGAGTAAGTCCGCCGCAACTGCCGATGTGCGGTCCCGATCTACCTATACCATTATCAGATGGCTACTGGGAGAACAATACCACTTTCGTTCCTCTTGTTTGTCAAAGTAAACAGTGGAAACCAGAAGAAATTGACAAATGCCTCGCTGACACAGAGATCCTTGGTGTTGGCGACTCGACCCTTGGACCATTAGCTTACGAATTTATAAAATCACCAGAAATGTGGAAGAAAAACTTTCATTTTATGACGCCGCGAATTGCCGGTCCAAAAGTTCCGATTATGGAGACTGTATTCGAAAGCGATATGATTAATAATATTACCAAAGCACAATGTCAATCCAAAACGCCGATAGTGCTTCTAAATTTCTGTTTCCACTACGCGTTGTGGTCTACCAGAGGATACGTGGAACGTCTTGTGCGAGTAAAGCTGGCGGTGGAGCGACTTTTTCAAAGGTGTCCAAATTCGAAAGTTCTACTAAAACTAGCACATGCGCGGGATAACCTGTATAAGGCACAGAATGTACATAGCAACAACTGGATATTCTACGATATGAACAGAATACAACGACGTATATTCGGTGGAACTGGCGTTCTTTTTCTCGACCCTTGGGATTTAACGAATTCAGCGTTTCAAGAAAACACTATTCACATGGGGCCTACGGTCCGACGCCAAGAGTCGTTTCTTGCGCTATCATATTTATGCCCAGAAATGGCGATGGTGCAATAGTTTCAGCTGATTAGTCACGAGTATAGTAGTTGTATCAATTATTGTTACATCACATTAAGCACTCTTACACATACTATGAATTATGTATCAGCAGTTCAGCCTAAACCAGGATCAAAATACTATAACACCAATACATGGATACATGAATGTGATAGTGGGATATACGCTTCAGTCTTTTTTCGAATAGAAAATTAAAGTTTCCGCTATTAGGTTCAGTAAGCAAAACTTGGTGAATGGAAAAATAAGGTTGCATTATTAGAAATACATGGAGGATAACACCTCAAATCTCAGATTATGTGCTTCTAACCGTATTTGTTAATAGCCACTGACAATGGCTCTTCAACTGCCGCTGTAGTAACAAAATAACTGATTGCACACTGAACAAAGAATTGTTAAACCTATTAATATGCACAACACTTTAAACTTCCCCTAGCAACAACAGAACCGCATCCAATACTATAAATTGGTGGACATACAAGCGGAACAAAGCACACTGTTACCAAATGGTGGCAAACCTTTGCATTCGCCAAACATCCCAATCTAAAACGCAAAGATAAGTATTTGTGGTACAGGTGCCAACATAACACTATACGAGAAACGATAACGGCCTGCATGCCCACATTCGCTTTCTGAAACAAAATACGAATGTGGTGCAACAAATGTGTATGGTGGTTACTCTGTGGCAATGTGCAGAATTACCACTACTTGTACTATTACGTCACACCTTTCAGTGTACAGCACTGCGCCCTCAATAGAGCCATGCCCTATATGAAACGACAAGACAACTCATTACACTGTGTGACGCTAGAATATTGTTATTAATTGTAAAATTAAATGCATAGTAATTGATTTGTTTATAAATGCATATTAATTAAGGAAATCTAAAGTTAGCTATTTGGCAACTCGTTCATTATACAACAGTCTGCATGTTTTGCTGAAACCAGATTCACGTTCACATTTAACCTGCCTTACTGCTGAATTGTTAGACTTATGAAAACATATTTTAGAAACCACACCCACTTTTAGCAAACACTAAATTGTTAGACAAGCAAAAAAGTAATAATGAAACACGCTATCCTGAAAGAAAACAAACAATGTCGATAGATCGTGATCGTAAACAAAGATAAACAGAAAGAGAGCATAGCTGCTCATTTCAATCACATTGCCTACAGAAGGGTTCCCTTTTGCCCAAAAAAACAATGAACTTAAATTTGATTGTCGACCATGAAAAACATGGAAGAAAACTGACATTCAATACAGGATAGACGAAGCCCCGGTTTGATTGACTGCAAAATTATGTTTTTCCCTAATCTTTCAATATATTCCTGCCACAACAGTCTGTAATCTTAAATTTTGAATACTTTATAATTGTACTCTAAAATTTGAAAATTAAGTAGAAGAAATGGTGGACTTTTTACTGATTTGTCACTTTTAGAATGTACAAATTTAAACAACACATGTTTAACAAACACAGGGCAAAACACCAAGGACAAACACGTTTCAAAGTCAGAACTCTACTCTCTACTAGGTAAGTAATACAATGGATGAGGCAATACTTACAATACAATTACTCGTGTCGTGTTTTCCTTTGCAATTTGTTTTGATTTTCATGTAAATTATATTTGCAAAGCAGCAACATGACATAATATGAATTCATTCTATTTTTAATGTTTTTGAATTCAACAGCATAAGTTCCATTTACCTTTTACATTTTCTCACACAGCCTTTGATACCTGGTATTTGAAGATCATAATGTTATCGATTATAATCTCATCTACCACTCTATCGAATGTAAGATGACAATTGTATGGTTATGGCCAAATAACGTTATACTAATTTGCTATTGTACAGTATGTCGCCCTCTGTAGTTGAGATATGGTGAGGTGGCTGTTTACAGCACCGGGAAAAAGCAGAGAGAAATGGCGGATCACAGCATGTATTGCTGGTGTTTTGACGCATTTGCATGAATTATAGCAGTCGAGTGAGCTACACTAAGCGAAGTTTAGGTTGTTGGTTGTTGCGGTCTAATTACAGTGAGCATACATATAATTTTTCATGTTTGTTTGAACTACTGACTGTTTGCAATGTTTGTTTGAAGTCATTGCTTCATATACATGTGACTCGTGTTTACCGATCACGCTAGTCTTTAGGCTTAACGATCTACTGCGTATAATTCCATGTATTTTTAAGATGTGTTGAGATATTTGTACCCTTCGTGAGGTAATCGCTATTATGATAGTAATATTATTGTACATGTATACTGTGCATATTGATCGATTACGTGAAATGTATTGTTTACTTATGTTCTTTATTTCTCTGTATACTTTTCAGTCAATCGTTTCTCAGTGTTGGAAAGGAATAAAGTGCACTTAAAGTTTATGTTCGAACATTTGTTTCTTATGTTTTTGGAGAGCGCAATGACAACGCCCAATAATCCAACAAGGGGTCGAGCATTAGCCTTTAGTAATTGTTTGCGTCCTACATTCTATTGACGTAATAGGCAAGTTTTTGTCTTGAACATGGATTATCGATATACTGATCCAAATTTGGGTATGCATAGTTTCATTGAAGAGTCCGCCAGAAAGGGAAGTCACGTGAGTAGTGATCGTTCAGATATCCATCGCAATACCCAGATAAAAATACCCACTGGTTTTGATTATGAATGGGAATTCATAGAAAAAAAACTGAAGTCACTGTGCATGCAGCTGCATGCCATGACAGACCAAATACTGGGTCCAATAGAAACACCCACAAATGTAAACATTGTAATAAGAAAATACACAGCGTGGATGGATGTATACAAATAATTTCTGGATACCCATGATGCATATGTCAAATACTTGTTCGGCCAAGAGCAGTGGGAATTTCAGTCAAGTTGGTTTGGAAAGCATGAACAGGCATGTCAAGGCTTTAACCGTAAAGTGAGTGTCTGGATTAGTAAACAGGATTCTCAATCAAGGAAGACACACGGAATAAGTCCAGAAGACAGCGTTTCCAGTGTTGGCACTTATACAAGAAATAGATTAAGGAGATATCAAAGTAGTGTAGCCTCTTCTCGATCCAGTTCACTATTTGCTGCTAGATTCAAGGAAGAACAGCGTAAAGCAGAATTGTTGAATAGGCTTGCTGCATTAGACCAGCGCAAGAAACTTGAGATTGAAAGAAGAAGGAGAAGCAAAAATAGCAATAAAGTTAAAGAGAAAAAGTTAGCCTTGGAAACAGAAATCGCTGAGGCAAAGACAAAAGTTCTCGATAAATTTGAATTAAAGTTGAATCAAAGTTTGAGCCTGGTCCTGTGAGTGCCTGGGCAAGTATGGCTTCAAAGGAAAAGTGTTATATGGAGGCCGGAGATGATGAATGTACCATGACAATTGTTCCTGTGAAAGTGCAATTGAAACTTACCATTTCCCGACCCTAGGAGCAGCATCAATTTCTGTACTGAGAGTTTAGTAAGGAAACTTGGTTTGATTGGAAGAAAGGTGAAAATTACACTCGACACTATGAGAGTACCACATGTCATGAACACCTATATTGTTCATGGTCTTGAAGTGTGTGATCTCCAATGTAAAAATGCTATTGATCTTCCAAAGGTTTATACAAAGGATAAGATGCCAGTGTTGCGACACTGTATTTCAACCCAGGATGGTATTTCTTATTGGTCCCATCTGCAGGAAGTTCCTGTCTTCCAGATTAACGCTGATGTGGGTTTTTTGATTGGGTATGCGATACCAGATGCATACACGCCTCTGGAAATCAGAAGAGCTGAAGCAGTTGGATCTTATGGTAAGAAGCTCTACAAATTTTGATTTTTCTGAGCGTTCACTTGACGACAAGGGGGAGCCCTCCCAGGAAGACAAGACGTTCACAATGAAAGTGAATGAATGCATCAGTCATGTTAATGGACATTATCAGACCATTTTACCCTTTCTAGATGATGATGTTAAGCTGCCGTACAATAAAGGATATGCTACCAAACGACTTAAATGTGTTGAGAAGAATTATCCTGAATTTTAAAAGGATTACACAGCCTCCATGGAAAGCATTATAAGCAAGGGATATGCAGTGAAAGTTTATGAAGATAAACTTGGTAGAAGTGATGGCAAAGTTTCGTATGTTCCACATCACAGTGTTTACCACCCACGAAATCCAGGGAAGATAGATGTTGTTTTTGACTATGCAGCCAGGTTCCAGGGGACAGCATTGAATGATCATCTGTTACAACGGCCAGATTTAACAAACAACTTACTTGGTGTGTTGCTACGCTTCAGACAAGAGTTCGTCGCTTTGATGGCTGACATTGAAGCAATGTTTCATCAGGTATGGATTCCAAAAAATGACTGTGACTGTCTGCGATTTTTTTGGTGGCCTAATATTAACTTAGATAGACAACCGGAAGTATATGCTATGACAGTTCATTTGTTTGGGGCGGTATCTTCCCCCAGCTGTGCCAATACTGCACTTCAAAGAACCACTGAAGATAACAAAAACTACATTGGTGCAGATGTTGTGACTACAGTCCTTAGAAACTTCTATGTTGATGACTGTTTACAGTCTGTAGAATCTGAAACAAAAGCTATAAGTTTGGTACATGACCTGAGAGATCTGTATCAACGAGGTGGATTTAACCTAACAAAATGGATGAGTAACAGTCGCATTGTCCTAGAGTCGATTCAGACTGAAGAGTGTTCTAAGGAAGTTAAATAACTTAACCTCAACTATGATGATCTTCCTGTGAGCGTGCTTTAGGAGTGTTTTGGTTGTTTGAACTAGACATGCTTGGCTTCAAGATTATTGTGCTAGACCGACCAACCACTAGGAGGGGAATATTGTCCATCGTCAGTTCCATCTACGATGTACTCGACCTTGTGTCACCATTTATACTCCCTGCAAGAATACTTTTACAAAGCTTGTGGCAGCAAGGCAGTGAATGGGATGAGCTTACTGAAGGGGCTTGTCTTCAGGTGTGGCAGAAATGGCTGTCTGGCTTGCCAAAATAGGAGCCATTCTCAGTTGCGAGGTGTTATAAACCTAAACATTTTGGTGAAGTACTTTCATGTCAAGTACATAATTTCAGTGATGCCAGTGAACAAGGATATGGATTGGTATCGTATCTGCGTCTGGTCAATGGGAGAGGAGAAATTCATTGCACCATACTTCTGAGAAAACCTAGGATTGCACCCCTTAAAAAGGTGACGATACCCCGCATGTAACTGACTGCAGCAATGCTTTCAGTACGAATGAATGAGAAACTGAAAAGAGAGTTGGATTACAACATTGACAAGTCCTATTTTTAGACAGATAGCATGTCAGTGCTGAGATACATCACTAATGAGACTACACGCTTCCATATATTTGTCTCTAACAATGTGTCTACAATTCATGAGGGATCAGAGGTGTCTCGGTGGAGGTACATGAATACGAAATTAAACCCAGCAGATGATGTTTCAAGGGGTTTGATAATAACTGACTTCATAAAATGCAAGCAATGGGTTACTGCTCCAGGTTTACTGTGGTCTCCAGAATCTGAATGGCCAGGGAATCAAGTAGTTTTAGAGAGGATTCACGATGAGGATCCTGAAGTGAAGAAGCTCTCAGATATTGTTCTAATAGATGAGCAATCTAGCTTCATGAGTAGTCTAATTTCACTTTTTTCAAGCTGGATGTCACTGAAGCGGACAGAGAATGGATCTTAACTGGTAAGAAAATTTACAACGTTGGGACAGTCTGAGAAAAAACAAGTGCGAGGGAGTATGTCTGCAGATGAGAGAGAGCACCTTGATGATGACAAGATAGGAAAAATTAGGTCTAGAGTAAACCTCAAGTCTGCATCTCTTGATAGTGACATACTACAAGAGACAGAAAGATGCATTGTGACTTATGTACAAAGAAGTCACTTCCCAGATGAGTTGCACATATTTCTCAAAGGTCTTCATAGTGAGATTAGAATGACTGTTAAAAAGACAAGCCATGTCTATAAAATAGATCCAATTCTGGAAGATGATCAAAGTATGCCTTGTAGTCTCTCAACGGCGTTTTCCGATTACATTTTTCTGGAATTATATTGGGCCTTGTTACAAGATACATCCCCCTCTGCCGGAAAGCATTCTCTCTCTTCAGTGTTTTTCTCTGCACGACTTTGGTTTAACTGTCGGCTCCTTTATTCCCTCAAATAACTCTGAGGTGGGGCTAGTCAGCCGTCTGCCAGTTGATTGTGTTCAGGGGTACGCAAGCCATAATCTGCTATGACAACCTGTGTCCCTGCCAATGCTGATCGGGTGACATCTCTGGTAGTGTGCTTATCTGATAAGTCTTCTCTCTTCAGTTTGTCCGCAGTCACGGGTTGGGGATCGTTTGGTGAAAATATATCACCACAACTGAGGCAGTGCATGGGAGGAAATATACCTGTAACAAATACAATAAATTAAAACAACACAATATATAAGGTTTCCTTCACTTTAATACATAAATAGTACAGGGTGTTAATCACTAGAACCAGCAAGGGACGGGGATATACAGTAAACAAATACAACTTAAGACTTGATCGATGTTGCGGGAAACACTCTACTCCCCAGTGAACAGCAATGTACAATGTTGCGTTCTTTCGTATCTGGCACACTGTCGAAGCAGCTGCACTATAATTTAAACTTGTACTCTGTGTTCAGAAGTATCGGCAACTGCACTGCTATCTGATGCTACTAGTAGCACTGGTATCACGGGAGCCATTCGGGCAGGGGCGTCAGTGGTTCCTGTTGATGAGCAGGGATTACTGCACAGCACGTCTGCATATGTACCTATGTATAGGATACAGCTCACTGGATGTTGGAAACTGCATCACAAGATGTTACAGGATCAAGTAAGGTCACCTTTCTGACTGAAGGTTTTCACACAAGTCTAAACATAAATACTACTACTGATGTATGGTCATGCAAACAATAACATGTATCCTACAAAATATTTAGTTATCTCGAAATAACGGACAAATCAGTGTACAGAGGAGGACAATTTTGGTAGTGGAATAACCCACTCTTTGTCCAAGCTCTACCAATTTAATATAGGAGACTCGGGTTGTATCTGTTTTCATTGCCAACACCACTGGGCTCAGCACATTCTAAGGTATTTCACAATCACCATGATGTATGTATCTCAAATTATGGTGACTACACCACCCAGTGACTGTATCAGCAGTCTAAAAATAAACATGTGTGATAGGTTGTTGCAAAGTGTTCAAACATCTGAGCTTTTCATTAACACATCAAGGGGTCTGTTTTCTAAAAGTTCGTTTTACTTACAATTTATGTCACAACATAATATCATATCAAACCCTTTTCTCATAAATATGACATTTTATTTCGATTGAAGCCCTCTTTAGTTGAGATCAGTTTTTTTACTTCCTATTCGTTTTTCGACGAAGAGGACGCTATTACCGAAGTTATGGTTACTGACTGGCCTGTATTTAAACGAAGTCTATTGACAGTTATGTGATGTAATATGTAGAATGAAAATAGTCATTTGACTTGTTTTTATAGGCCACTTTCTTCTGTCTGGTTCTCACTTTAATATTTTCGGCTCAAAAACCACTATGTAGTTTTTGGGGAATGCTTTGTGCCATTGTTTGCAAACAATTGTAGTTTAATTGTCCCTATACAGAACTGATGATAGTTATACATGGTGATAGAGGAATTAGGACACAACTACATGAATAATAAAACTCTACACCACTGTTTCGTAATCTACAAGTACCAGGAGCTTTATATTTAATAATTGACTGCAAAACTATCATAAATTATAAACTTCGCAAATTAACATATCAATTAAAACGTATGGGTTTGAGTGTTCAAGCATTGATAACAACACCGTTAATGTTTAATTTCATCGGTTATTTAACTTGTGACAGGTACGCAAACTCGCAAAATATATGAATATATAAAGCTTTTTATTATTGAAAATACTAAAATTGATAATCGGTAAGACCATATAAGCAAACATAAAATTGATTCTTCCACAATCTGGTCCTTGACATAACATTGTTTTCTGAAGGTAATGTCATGACTTATCTCATTATTCATTGAATCAGGTCACATTCGGTGATTGTCTAAGCGGCATATATACCATAATAATCACTAACGAGTCTCAAGACTTTTCACTCAATTTTGCCAATACTGCTTGCATAAATGGCCTATTAATAAACCCTTCAATGACACATTAATGTTTTGTTAGTAAATATAACATATTTGTTGTTGTTGACATCATGTTTCCGAATTGATGTCGCATGTATATTAATTTGTATGACACCACGAGTCTATAGCAATCCCTATTAAATACAGATTGAATATTATATGGTTATACATCTCTAAATATTAAAGGAAAGCGCTTCTTAAAATCATAATTACAATAAATATAGCGAATGTATATTTGTGATTACACACCAATTAAAAAAATACCTGCTATACAAGAGGGAACTTACTTGATAGCAAAATGGTATATATTGTTTCTATTAACATGCATATACATGGTAACCCTTTGGAAGCACTTTCATGTTTTTCATTTAAACACACTATTTACATTGGCAACATAATGTTCAATTAAAAAACATATGTATTTTCTATCAAAACATTCGTGTTTTAGTATTTTTGAAAGAAATCACTGTTACTATGGGCATAAGTTTGCCCAAAACAATAATCAACAAATCCATTTTTTAAACAGTGAAAGACCCTGGAAATAAAAAGCTAAATTAAACAAGCACTCACCCACGCATAACGAAAAAATTATGCATAATCAGCTATAATTTGAGCTTATCACTTCCGGTAGACAAGACGAATGTTGTTCATTGCATGTCACACTGTATAATGCAAATGTGCAATATAGTTAATATTTTACTTACGTGTTTTGTTAGCAAATAAAACATTTGTTTTCCTGACATTATATGTCTCAGAATTCATGTCGGATGCATATTAATTGGTATGATACCATTGATATATAGACAATATTATACACCTTTTGTCCGTTCATTCAACCACACAAGCTGAGTCCATTTCTGTGCGTGTATTTTACAATGGAAAACCATCTCTTCATTGTTTATATATTCACGGGAACAATAGTCTAGCCAGCGTTCAAACTGCCGCTCATGCCAAGGCACATGTGTGCAATACACAGTGTACATATTCCAAATCGGAAATCACAATTAAATACAGTAGAAATATTGAATCGATACGCATTTATACATATTAAAGTGCAGCGAGTACTAAAATCATAATTAATATAGCAAATGTAAATGTAAATCACGCCCCCATGCATACACAAACGCGAATTATTTTATAACAAAACAGAACCTATTTAATCTATTACAAGCGCTTACGTAGTAATTATTGAAAGCACTTTCATGTTTTTTATTAAAACATACTATTTGTACTGAAAGCTCAAATTTTATATTAAAACGTGTATTATATTAAATAAAAAAAGGGTTTTAATCGCACCAGGGTATATTTACATGTGATTTAAGCATGTATAAAAAAACTATTCAATTTGAAGCATTCGGAAAACAAATTCACCGACGATGTTTCAACTCAAAACACTATAAATGTTTCAAAAAGTGGTAATGTATAAGGCACATTTGTGTTCATGAGAGTAACTAAAACACTTTTTTTTCAAATTATTTTATTTTGAAGCACTTCTGAAAACAAACACGCATCCAATGTTTTAACTTAAAAAACCCGACGATACATGTTTCGTATGTGTTTTTGTATACGACATATACACAAATAACAATAACTGAAGTTTTTTTGTATTCTGTAGTATTTTAGAAAACACACACACATGAAATGTTTCAACCTAAAACGATTCATGTACATGAGTTAGAATAGGTAACCCTTTTATGCAGTCTACGGTACACATCTATAACAGCCACAATGTTTATACAGCATTATATATTAAAATAGTTGCACGTGTGCATACCATGTACCTATCATCGGTCAGGTTCCTTTTTTGTGAGATAACAATCGACGGCGTACACGATGCGCATGCTCGTTTAAGGCGTAGATTT